ACCATGGCCACGTACCTCGGGGCCGGCTGCGGCGTTTCCGTCTGCCCACGGAGGTGCTGCGCAGCGCGGGCTGCAGCTGCCCGATCTCAATGGGCGTGTTGGTGCGGAAGCTCTCCTTGAACTTCTGCATCAGCGACTCCACCGTCTCCTGCGTCACCTCGGGAGCTGCAACGCCAGCAAAGGGGCTGTGGTTACAAAACAGCGGCCACACCGTGTCCCCTCTGCCCATGAAACCTTTCCTTGGGTAAGCTGGAGCTGGGTCCTGTGGGATTTTCAGGGTCTCCCGTAGCAGGAAGGAAATGATGAATCTGACTCCATGTTCTTAGAAGGCTAATTTATATTATATTATATTATATTATATTATATTATGTTATGTTATGTTATGTTATGTTATGTTATGTTATATTATATTATATTACATTACATTATATTACATTACATTATATTATATTACATTACATTATATTATATTATATTATGCTATGCTATATTGTATTATGCTCTATTATATTGTACAATAGTATGTTACATTGTATTATGCTATGTTACATTGTATCACATTGTATTATACTATATTATATTACACTATATTACATTATGCTGTTTATATTATGCTATACTAAACTATACTAAAGAATACAGAAAGGATACACACAGAAGGCTAAAAGGTAATAATGAAAAACTCGTGACTCCTTCCAGACTCCCGACACAGCTGGACCATTATCAGTCACTAAGTCAAAAAAATTCACATAAAACCAATAAAACAATGACCAGTTGGTAAACAATGTCCAGTGCTGCCATGCTGGGAGACAGAGGGAGAGCGTCCACCCAGTCATACCAGGCAACAGAGAAACAAGGATCAAACCCCCTGCCTGAGTTAAGTGCCAGCAGTGGGAACCATTTCAGGAAAGCTCCAGAAAGAGAGGGGGCTAAGGGACCAGCTGTGTAATGACTTTGAATTTTCCAGTATCAGGCTCCCCCAGGAAACACAGATCAAAGACAGAGCTCCCCAAAGCCCCTGACGTTTACAGCAGGCACAGCTGAGTCCTTCAGTATCAGATGCCCCAGCAGGCAGCATCATATGAGGAAAAATATATCCAGAACAGAGAAGGGGTCTCCAAAGAGCATCCAGTCCCATCCCCAGAGCACACATTCCCCTGAGGTGCCAGGGAAGGATGCTGGGGCAGCACTGGGGTGGCTCAGCCTCCTGCTGCTGTGTTCACAGGGGGAAGCCTGACCCTGCAGCTCCCTTGCCCAGCAGAATGTGTGGCAGGGCCTGCCCTGAACAGATGGAGAGTTATCCAGACCTTGGGGCTGTGTGATACAGGACTTGTGGAAGTGGAGCAGGGAGCTCTGGAGTGGCTTGCACAGCTGGGGCTTATTTACCAAAAGGAGGCCAGGAGGAGGAGGAGGAGGAGGAGGAGGGGACCATGCCTTCAGCGAGGTCACAGCAGTCTCATGGCCCCTGATGGGGCCGTGGTGACTGCACCCATCTGGCCACCATGCTGGCACAGCCATCCTGGGGCAGCTGCTCCCACACCTGTCAGTGCAGCAAACACCAAGAAAGGCAGAGTGGGGAGGGAAGGGGTGTCCTTCATTTGGGAGGATGCTCCAAATACTGCAGGAATTTGGAGCAAAGGGCTGGTGCAGCTCACTGCTCTGCACAGGTGTGCCAGCACATTGTTGGCATCTCTGTGCCCCTGAGCTCAGGGGTTTGGAGAAAGGAAATGGGACAGGGAAGCAGGAGGGAGGAGAGAAAAGTAAAGCAGGAAAAGAAAAGAAGGGGAAAAAACCAAAACAAGACCAAAAAAAAAACAAAAACAAAAACAAAAAAAACAAAGGGAAGGGGAAAGAAAAAAGAAAGGAATGAAAGGAAAATGAGAAATGAGAAAAGACCCTTGTTGACATGGTACCAGCATATCAGCAGGAAGAGTTTGGCATGGGTGGGCATAGAAAAAAACATAGCATATAAAAAACCCTCAGTGACAAATGAAAGACAGCAAGAGCTTCAACTGTGTGAGCATGAGGGGTGAAGGATGAAGGGAGAGCCCTTCATGCATTGCCAGCAGTGCCAAAAGGGAGAGAGAAGAAGAGACCACTGCACCATAATGGAATGAGACAGCACTTGCTGGGGCTGTCCATCACATCCACGAGAGAGACTGCAAACCAAACTGCCCTCTGGGCCTCCCCACAGCAGCCCTTGGAGGTTCCAGCTGGTCAGAAAAGGATGGGAAGAAGCACTGCCATGGGGTAAACAGTGGCCTTAATAATTTGCTTTAACTACAGGCCAGCCCTGAATTGGTGAGGCAGTTGGATTAGCTGATCCTTGTAGATCACTTCCAACTGAACTGCTTTATTCTACACCACCCTGCGAGCCCCCCTGGACTGCCTGTGCCAAACTCAGGCTCAGCCAGCAGCTCCTGGCACCTCCACAGCTCCCACATGCTGCTCCCTAGCACGACACAGCCACGTCAGGCACCAGCTCCTCCCAGCACTGGCCGAACACGACTCATCCCAGAGGAGCCAGGACTGTCCTCCCCTCCGGCACAGCTTGCCAAACGCCTTCTCTCCCCTCCCCAGCTCCCAGGATAAATCCACCCGGGGCTGCTGAGCTCACATCTCCGTCACTGTGCTGAGAGATTCTCCACCCAGCCTGGCAGAGGTGGTGGGATCCACCCCAGGGCTTGGCACGAGGCTGTGATCTCCATCTCCCCCCCAGGAGCAGGGGAATCACGAGGCTCTCCAGCCCCCACAAAATCAGCTTTCCTCTCTGGCAGCACTTTAAGGACACAGCTGAAGGTCACCCTACCTTTGCAAAGCACAGCACACATTCCTGACGAACACCTCCCTCCTGTCCACCCCCATATTCTATTTGAAAAGAGATTTGCTCTCCTTATGGCTCCCCTATTCGTTTGCACGTCTCCCACAAAACAATTCCTACCCAGAGCCATTCTCTCCTCCTTCCTTTCTGCTGGCACAAATTGCAGTGGGAAAATATGTTGTTTGGCTTAAAAATTACAATGACAACAACAACAAAAAAAGTAGTCATCAGCGGAACAATATGAGCAATGTTTGGGTAAAAAATACATTGCAATGGAGATGGGAAGCAGCAGCATTATTCCAGCTCAGCCAGGAGAGCTGCACCCTGCCAGACACACTGGATGGGTATGGGGGGTTGCTCTGGGGACATGCCACAAGCAGGATCTCACCATCCCTGGGGGGATTCCACATCTCAGAGTGCCAGGCTTGGATCAGTACAAGCACTCACAAACCCTAACTGAGATATGAACTATTTGTGAGCCTCCACCAGTCACACTTGGGTGTTGTCTCCACTATTCCAACAGATTCTCAAGCACTACAAAACCTCTCTGACTGTAACCTGTTCCCAGCCAGCAAAGCCAGGCAGTGATGGAAATACCCCTTAGATGTCAGAAAAAAGCTCTCAGAATTGCTGAGGTGTTTCAGTCTTCAGATGTGGCCTTGAGGACTCCAGTGGAACAGCCTCTCCCCAAACCAGGCACAAACCTCGTGGTGCCATTGGGTGGTGGGAGAGCTGGACAGTCCTACAGCTTGGGTTTTACATCTGATTAAAACAGAACAATGAGGTTTGTGGTCTGCAAAGGTGCCAGCTTCCCTGAGTCTCAAAGTCTTTGGTGTCTGGCTTAAAGGTTCTTTTCCTGGAGCCACAACCACCTGCGCTCTCCTCACACAACACCTGCATGCCCACAGCAGCTTCTGTCAGAGCTTCTCACACTAGGTATGAACTAAAACACATTTCTATAAAATACAGGTTTTTAAGCATCTGGTTTTCCCATTTTTCTCTTTGATTTCTGGCTGTCAGAAGGCAAGTTATTGATCCCTCAATATGAACAGTGGCCACAACGCTCCCAGAGTTTCAGTGAGAGGAATAACTCCAGAGCATCTCAAAAGCTGCTCGACTGAGCATTTTGCAACAAGACAAACTCAATCAAGGATTACATGGAAGAAGTTTGGGCACAATTAGAAGCCATGGTCAGTGGGGTTCCTACCTCCTGCCCTGCATGGTAATGTGGAGGATGCAGCCCCTCACTTCAGACACTGACTCTTCTCTCCTGCCCTTTCACTGACCACTTCCAGTATTTATCAAATAATCTGCTTTTTCTAGGCACAGGGCAGGGGACTCTCCTAGGAACCACTGACACGGGCTCTAAAGGTCTAATAAATCACCACGTCCCTAACACACCACAGGAACACCAGGGAAGTGCCAGTTTAATAACGTTATAATTGTTTCCTCCAAATCAACTCCCTGATATTCAGCAAGCTCATTTTGATGTTTCTCGATCAATATTTTCGAAATTTCTGTTCCACAAAGTATTTCAAGAAATTGACTTTCTGATCCTATTTTGGAACAAGCATAAATTTCACAATGCTGGAAGTTTTCCACATGGTGGAAGCCCTGATTTCTCACCAGCTCTAAATAATGGGTGTTTGTTGCTTTCCGAAGCATGAAATAACTAACGGTGTTTGTTCTGAGACTGGGATGTGGACTGATTTTCAACAGTGCCACCCTGAAGGTACTGAGCTCCACAAAGCACAGAGCTTTAGTAGCATAAAATTAGGTAATTACACTGATGCTGATGTGATGACAGGGGGAGAGATTTGTACAACAGCTTTGCACGTACTCAGAGGAAAACACATCTGGGGAGTCACATCCTGCCTCAGAGCATGGGAATAAGGAGGAACACTGGGAACTTCACCTCTCCATGTGCTTCTCCAGCCACCAAACCTCTCTGGAGCAGGAAAACCTGTTCCCTTTGGTCCCCTATCTCCAGCAGTCCATGCCAAGTGCCACATGCAGCCACTGTGTCCATGAAACACAGGGAAGCTGCTGTTTGCATTCCACAGCCAACTCAGGACATATAAATCTGTTTTATTTAAATGCATATATATAAATATATCTCCATATATATACTTTTATTCAAATGTATATCTCTCTCTCTATATATGGATATATACAAAAAACATCAAAAGCAAAGATGAAGGAGGATCTCCAAATAGCTCTTTTATGAAATGGGGCTCTCACACAGCAACAGAGGGAGAGAGGAGCCCAGGAGCATTTTGAAAACAGCCTTGCATTCCATGTTGACTTTTTCTTTCTTCTCTCTCCTGGCCTTTTTTGTTGAGTT